CCCTTCTGCCAGGCTAGGGAAATGACTCCTTTTGGCAGACAGGAACTGCATTCTCAAGTTCCAGAGGAATGGTGGTTTTTTTGTTTTGTTTTTGTTGTTGTTGTTTTGTTTTTTATTTTTTATTTTTTTATCTAATGGCCAGAAATCCTCCTATTAATCCAGGTTGAGGGCTCAATTCTAGACATACAGACCTTTAAGACTACCCGAAACTTACTACTTCCCACCTGTAGCCACACGTACACCGAGTCCAACAGAGGCATTGCTGTGGCACCTCCATGTCATCCCTTCCTAAGTGGGTATCATGTCCTACATGTTCCCACCCACAGCCGCCTCCCAAGCACCCTCCGTGTGCTGCGCTGCTATGACCTGGCCACGCTCTATGCACACTAGCCTTCCAGGAGGGCAAATCAGTGATCTCCAAGCAACCCGTCCGGAAGGACCTACACTTTATTTACTTGAGGTTTCTAATCTATTTGACTAGATACTTTTATAGTCTAATAAAGATGAATTATGAGAGCCATAATTGAGAAAATTGGAAAACAAGTTTGTGTTGGTTAGGATACGGGGGAAAGGGGAACCTTCATATACTGGTGGGAATATAAGACACGGTAGTTGCTATGAGATCAGGTTAATGTGCCCGCCAAAAGCTAAATAGGAAACTCCCACAGGACCTAGTAATTCTACTCTGGATGGTTAGGATGGACCTACACTAAAAGGCCTAGTCTCCAGACTGGCACTACGACGTGACAGAACCTGGAGGAAGTTGCAGAGCCTGACTGGACTACTCGCTGGGTCTGAAGCCTGCCTTAGTTAGGGTTTCATTGCTGTGAAGACCAAGGTAACCCTTATAAAGGAAAACATTTAACTGGAGCTGGCTTACAGGTTCGGAGGTTCTGTCCATTATCATCAAGGAGGGAACATGGCAGCATCTAGACAGGCATGGAGCTGGAGGAGTTGAGAGTTCTACATCTCGTTCCGAAGGCAAACAGAAGACTGGCTCCCATGTGGTTAGGAGGAGGGTCTCCAAGCTCACCCCCACAGTGACACACTTCCTCCAGTGAGGCCACATCTACTCCAACAAGGCCATACCTCCTAATAGTGCCACTCCCTGGGCTAAGTATATTCAAGCTACCACAAGGCCAACCTGTGCTACCTGTCAAAACCTTGTAGCAAAACAGATGGATGGGGGTACATCTCAGTGATATACTTCTTGCTTAGAGTATGCCAGACCTTAGGTTCAATTCCCAGCGGGAAGCACTTGGGTCACTGAAACATACCCTTGAAGAAATCACTGGGACCCTAGCCTCTCCCTGTCTCCCGGCTGATGAAGTCAGTGGTTTTATTCCACTGTGTACTTTTGCCCTGTGCCCCTCCCAACCAGAAACCCAGAGCAGTGAGCCACTCAGTGATAGACAAGGGTCTCCAAAACCCTGAATAGAAATAAACTTTCACTCTTGAAGGTTACTAAATTTAGTCATATTGTTAACAGTAACAAATGCTGACTAGTATATACTTCTATGTGTATGTCCAGAAGAACTAAGAACAAGTAACCAAATAGATTTTGTGTGAGTATTTTGCCAGCACTATCAATTCACAAGAGTCAAAGACAGCAGTAATCTAAGTGTCCATCAAAAGATGAATGAATGAAATACAATACATTCAAGCCACAGAATATTACTCGGCCATAAAAATGAACGAAGTCCTGATTCATGCTAAAATGTGAACTAACCATGGGAGCAAGAGGTTAAGAGAAAGAACCAGACACAAAACACCCTGTGTAGCCTACTCCATTTGCATGGAGCACTCTGCAGGCAGAAAGCAGATTAGTGGTTACCAGGGGCTTAGGAAAGGAAGACTGTGCATGACCACTTCATGATATGAGGTTCCTCTTCTGAGTGTGACTTAGAACAGCGTGACAGTTCTAAGTGTGACATACACAATGCCCCCACGGTCCAGTTTCGGATGCCTCACGATTATGAGAGATGCAAATGAATTATCGAAACAATGAGAAAAAGGACAAGCCCAGTTTGACAACAAGCTCGCTAGACATCTGGTTGCTCAGTCAAGTAGCTATAGTCTCCCCTTATTCTCGATTCCTTTATCCCTCGTCTTGAGCCAGTAGGCAAAGCATCTGCGGAACCCACCCCAACTGCCACTCTGGAGGCCCCTGGCCTGGATCCTGTTGTGATGGTTAATCTTAGGTGGATCTGGAACTAACTAAAAGACACACTTCTCGATGGGTCTGTAATAATATTTCCCAGAACTGCTGACTGAGGAGGGTTGATCCTCCCCAGAGATAAGGAAGTCTGAGAGAATAGCTTCACCTCCTGCTAGTGAGTGCATCTATCCAACAGTTGCTGCAACTACTACCACTGACCTTTGCTAACATGGAAACACCTTTTCTCTGGACTTCTGGCGTGGATGGAAGACCAGTGGCTCTCCAGGAATCCTCGAGGGTTTCAGTACTAGACCAGAACTGCTGAGTCATCCAGCCTCGTAGACTAAGCAGGGACTGGTTCCCAGCTTCTCCCAGGATGAAGACAACTATTACTGGATGACCCAGACCATACTGTGTAAGCCAATCTAATAATACCTTTTAATACATATTCACTCTGTTCTCTTTCTCTCCAGAATGCTGATAATACACTTAACTACCATGGGAGAATGATAAATCCCAAACATACCCTGCGTCTCTCCCTGGAGCGGAGTATCCTCCTCTTTAACAAGAGAGAAGGCTCCCTCATCTCCTCCTTGCAGTGACTACTGTACTGCATCTTTCTCTCATGGCAAAACTCACTCAGTGCTGTCTGTCCTCAGTGCCTGAGTAATCGCCCCCAGATCCTCCTAAGTGAGGTCAGGCTTTGGCCACAGCTCCCCAGGAGATGGATGACTCAGTAGGTGGAGGCTCCTCACCTTGACATTGGCTGCTGAGCTGAGCTCAATCCCTGGAGCCATGTACAAGCCAAAGAAGAGACCGACTCCACAAAGTCCCCTCCACACCCACCTCTCCCTACCCCGTGCACCAAACATATTATAAATAAAAAAGAATGAAAACAGAAATTCCTTCTCTAGAGCCACGTTATTTAGAGAATTAATATCCCCTTACATTTAGTACAAGGTAAGCCTAAACGTCTATATCTGTGATTCTCAACCTATCGGTCACAAACGACCCTTTGGGGGTCACCTAAGACAATTGGAAAATATAGGTATTTACATTATGATTCATGACAGTAGCAAAATTACCGTTATGAAATAGCAACAAAAATAATGTTATGGTTGGGGGTCACCACAACATGAACTGTATAAAGGGTCTTAGCCTTAGGAAGGTTGAATACCACTGATTTACATCAATCTCTTGTGTGACAGTCACCACTGCCCTGCTCGACACTTCTGGCCTCTACTGTTTCCTCTTAGAGTTCCTAAACCAAAGAATGATGCTTAAGTATAAGTAACTTAAAAACAGGCTCTGGAAACACAGCCCAGAAAGACCTGCCCATCCGCTTAGCATAACTACTGGGGAAAAGGTTAAAACCGAAGCTGAGGAACTGCGTATTTTAAAGGGGTTCAGTTCATTAAACAGTCGTTTCTATTTCAGCCATATCAGAGTTGTCTACATTGCTACTGCAGAATCCCAGATCTATTGTATTAAAAAAGGTTTTACTGTGTTAACTTTATTCCTCCCTAAAAGATGAATGCACTTTTGTTTTTAAAAGTAAGACTCTTTGAGAAATAACTATTTTATGTACAGAAATTTACTTCAGTGTCCCTGGTCTCTGGGGTATCTTCCCAAAGCCTTTGCTCAGAATAAGCAAGGCTCTCTGGAGTTTGATCCTCAATAGGAAAAATAATGTGCCTTTTATTTCACACTGCTCCTCAAGAAAGTAACATTTGGGGGATTGGAGAGACAGCTCATCAGTTAAGAGCACTTCCAGAGGGATCCAGGTTTGACAATCTACACAGTAAGTAGCTCAAAACCACCACAACTCCAGTTCCAAGGGACCAATGGCCTCTTCTTGCCTCTTCCAGCATCAGGCACACAGGCGGTGTCCATACATACACGCAGGCAAAACAGGCATAGGAATTTTTAATTAGAAAATAAAGGAAAATAACATTTTTAGGAACAGAAGTCTATTGTTATCACAAGTATTCGGAAAGGAGGAAAACTGTGTGTTACGGAAGTAACCAATCACTTTCTGATTGGATTTAAGACCCAGAGCACAAAACAGGACCCATACTTGATACTGTCGACGAGGCCCTAGAGGACAGCCTACTACTCTTATCCTGTTAAATGAAAACAGTACTAAAAGTACTCCTAATGACTTACTGCTGTACTGTAACTCTCTCAGCCCTCATCAGACAAGCTTCTCTTTGCAACAGATGGTAGTTACTACAAAGACCCACAACGGGTCACCAGGAAAAGAGTAAGAGATTTTAGAGTGCTCAATCCTACATGAGACATTTATGTCACATCCCTTCTCCTCAAGGCTCAGTGGTCTATGTGGAAGAGTTTAAGGGCCAGAGGTGGAGAGTGACTTGAGGAAAAGCAGTACTTTCCAGATGTAACAGGGCAGGCAGTTCCACAGAGGACTACACACAGCAATTCTGACAGCATGCACAAGACCTGTGCTAGCTCAAGTCAGCAAAATCCCAGCCAGGAAGGTGGGTGGGTGCAAAGCTAAGAAGCTATTGGTATTTGATTGTTACTTGGAGAAGGAAAGTAAGCTTTCATTAAAGATGTGATACCAAGTTTATTAACCACACGTCAGGGCAGGTCATAACATAAACTGGACTCCAAAGGACAGGGAGGAGGAAGAGGGAGGAAGAGACTGGGTAGATATGAAAATGAGGTATCTGGAAGGAGTTGTATGCCAGTCTTAAAGAATTAAAAGGAAACAAAACAAAGCACCAATCCCTCACAGCGCCTGTGAGCCAAGCCCAAAGAGAGCTAATGCTCCCTGCTGGGTACCATTCCAATCCCAGACTCCCACCACAGAACTTACCACTTGCTTTGGCTTCAGAGTAGGAGGGGCCTTCCTCAAAGGTAAAGATCTGGGACATGCTCTGGCCCAGGTAGGATGGAGGCCCGTAGTATGAGTGCATCCGGTACTGGGAGCTCACTGGGTGGCGGCTCTCTGAGGTCTTCATCTATTTAAGGAAAATTAAAAGACACCGTTGCTATAGTTTGAATGTGAAACGTGCCCCACAGGATCACGTGTCCAAGGCTTGGTCCCCATAGTCCCAACTTGAGAATTGCTAGACATGTTAGGAAATGGACCCTAACTGGAGGAAGCAGGCTGTTGGCCCTCGGAGGGGCAGACTTTAGGGAATACTTTGTCTTTGACCCTCCCAGTGTTTGTCTGTCTGTCTTTGCTTCCTGTGCCCCACAAGGTGCTTTGCTCTGTCACACACTCCATACCTCTATATTTCAGTACATCTTATATACTGAAGTAGAGTCACTCACTTAAGCCCGGGGTTTACCAGTGTGGCTACTCCAACTGGCCAGCTTGCTCAACCGTTCTGGCTCCACCTCCTGAGGAACCAGGTGGGTTCTCAGGCCTGCCCCTTATATATGCAGACACTGCGCATCTGAACTCTGATCCTCATGTCTGCTAGGCAAACATTTTATCCACTGAGCCACATCTTCAGCCTAACAAAAATTAGGGGGAGGGTTTCCTGATTCTGTAAGGGCTTCAGCAGTAAGAACTCCAACAGCCTTGAAACTAAAGCTGCAGACTTCACAGGAGTCAGTTAGTCAGTCTGAAAAATGAGCAGTGGAGGAACTGAGGGGCCAACTTCAAGTACAGATGCCCATGTAAAACAGTGGCACCTCGCTCTGAGTCCTGAGTTAGTCACATCTTCCTCAGATCTGATGATACCGACAAGTCTGCTCTTCAAGCAAAGTGGTTTTCAATATTCCCTGTGTACAAAGTAACAGGGCTTGATCCCATGTGCTCTGCAAACTGCTACATTTTTCTTTTGCTATAGAAGTATGTACAAATATTAAAATAGTTAATGACTATTCACTGTGACTTTAAGGCAAGAGACAGCAAGCATTTTACAATAGCTGGTCCAGTAGTGAATAATTCAGGGTTTTCTGGGAGCATCTTTAGGCAACAGCAAATGAATGGGCACAACTGTGTCCCAATAAAACTTTATTTATAAATATGTGGATTGGCTCTCAATTTTGACTCTCACTAGAATAAAGGAAGGAGCTGATGCTCTGGACCTACTCCTAGAAAATCTGGCTCACTTGGTCTGGAATATGGCCCAAACCCTGGGTCTTTCCAAAGCTCCCTAGGTAATTCTAGCATGTCACCAAGACTGACTCAATACTCTAAAATTACCAATATGTATCCATATACCAGAGAAGAACAAGATCCCATGTATTAAAAAAAAGAAAAAATATTCAAAAGGTAAAGTCTGAGAAGTGGATTGGTCAGTTGCCCCCATCCCAGAATGTACACTACTCAAAAAGCTATGCAAACTAATGACATTCTCTCAAATGACATTCTCTCTCACTGAAAAATGAGTGCTGTTTCAAAACACACACGTTTATCATCCCCTATTTAATTCTTTCTCTTTCCGGAATGCATCAAAAACTGTGATTACTTCAAACCTGGAATTGAGTTATTTGTATTCAACTACTGTTTCCCCAATACATCCTTGCGATCACAACAGAAGACTTCCAGCCAAAGGGGGAAAAAAGAAGACAGAAGGGCACACTCCATCTGAGGTTATTAAACTGTGAATTTGCTGAGGTCATCAGCCATGTCACCTACATCCAAATCAAAGAGTAATGCATAATGGCCCAGCCATTAGAGGCTAAACTCCCCAAAATATAAGACTACCACAAATAACCATCTACTCACAAAACTGCACAGGAGGAAGGGTTTGTGTTTCTAAGAATACAGAGCCCTCTAAAACACAAAGTTTACACTGAGTTGATGTTCACCTGAGAAGGCCTGGGAATAGCTCCAAGTCACTTCCTGCTTGCTTCTAACTTTAGATAGACAGACAGACAGACAAATGATAGGTAGGTAACACAATCCTGCTACTCTGGGCTTAGACAAGATGAGTGGATAATGGAGCCTTTGAAATTTATTTGATCTTAAATTAGTAGTTTTCAATTGGGGGCAACCTCGTCCCCAGGGGAGAGATTTGATATCTGGAAACATGTTCAACTGTCACATCTGGGAGCAAAGAGGATTGCTACTGGCATTAGAGACAGGCCCACAAGGCCCATGGCAGTGCCCCTGACAATCAGGTAATACACCTTGACACAGCAACTGTGCCAAGGTTGGGAAATCTGTTCCAAACTAATCTAATACCCTGAAGGCCCTTCCCTCACCTCTGGGTGAAAGGCAGCCACAGTGGCAAACGGGGGAACTGTTCAGTTATGTTAATGGGTGATATTACTTACTTATACACATACACTCACGAGCGCACACATGCGTACGCACACACACACACACACACACACACACGTGTGCACACTGTTAAGCAATGCTAGCTTGTTTCTTTGAGATTTTACTTTATTTTTGTTCCTCTATATTAAACAAACAAACCAAGCAAAACCTAAAAATCCAAGACTCCAATTAATTCTATTTGCTATTATTATTAGCATGTTTTATCATCTTCTTATCCACCCTAGTCTCTGAACTGGAGTGTGACCCACAGACAGGAACCAGGCAGGCAGCAAACGCACACGCTGTTAGCATTAACTCCAGATGAAACCTCGAAGCTTGGGGGGTTTTGTTTTACTGCTGAGAAAATGCACAGCAATAAATCTGAAAATCCTTTCATGCACCCTAAACCATCCTGTCTATGGTAACAGTGATATCTCAGGAAAGCTCAAGAGGGTTTGGCTTTATCATTTCCTTTTTAAAAACATTCTTGGATCCTACTTGCCAACTGTTGAGTAACACTTCAGACAGAAGCATTCGATCTTCTAGACAGCTGGACTCTCCTTCCAGGGGAAGGGCTCAAAAGGAGCACTCTAGCTGTTAGTAAGCTAGTCTAGCCAGCAGCATAGAGCTGGAGCTTCAGATTAAAGAGAACAGTGGTCCCAAGAGTCCTCCATAGGACAACACAACTCACTGCAGGGATCACCGGACCCTGATTCTCGGATTACAATTTTTAAAGCTCCCAAATCACCATTTGGGGCGAAACTTTAGTTTTCTCATCAGAAACACATTTACAATGAAGGCAGAACTCTTCAGGCTGAAGCTCAGGTCTCCAGGGGGCATGGAGTAAAGGCTGCAACCAGCATCTGCCATCCATTCACCTACTGAGACGACGCATGCCTGGTTCATCCTCCATACTGCATGCTGCCCTCTGCAAAGAATTCTTTTTTGGTGTATAGGCTAAAAGTATTTGCTATTATGCTACATCTCAGAGATGCTAGAACAAGAAGAGATCAAATGCCAAGTCTGTGGTGCTGGTGCATTCCCCTTGGCTGTGCTCCAAGGCTCCCTAATGCCTGTCTCCATCTCATCCTCAGGATCCTCTAAGGTTGTTACTTTCCTCGCTGTGCTCACCTCTTCTCTTATTGGCCCACAGTGAATGACCCAGAAGACAAAAGGAGACAGACACCATGCCTGTGAGGGAATCCAGGGAGGGAACCTTCAGGACACTGTGGAGAGGGTACCAGTGTGCCCACCATAAGGACCACATTCAAGATGCTGAAGAAAGCACAAGCTGTTTATCTCTGTCCAAACATGGAAAGGATGTTCTTCCTCTCCTGAGAGCAGGAGGGATGGGAAGAAGAGAGAAGGGGGAGAAAGGAAATCGGCAGAACACCAGTAATTTAAGACCAATACATCTCAGCTGTCTTCCACTGTAACCTCCAAAGGAACAGCACTAGAAAGGTGCATGCAAAACCAAGGGAACTCCTGTAGACAGAGCTTTTCTGGTATAAATGTAGAAAGGGGTATGGGTTTATCTCAGCAAGGTCAAGAAGTGAAAGAAACAGGATGCACCAGGGCAAAGTGAGCGGCAGGTCATCTAGAAACACAGAACCAAATCTGACCATGAAAGCACTGGGAAAGCCTTTCCCCAGGTCTCCAAAGTCTGAAGCACATGGACAGTGACTCATAAGCCTCCAACAGCTGAAAGGGACACACATCCCATGGGTCTTCAGGATCAGCAAAAACAATGAAAAAGCAATTCAAAATCAGAGTGAGCAGAGTGTGCATGGTACAGGTAAGAGCTCCAAATGGAACTGCTCTATGTGAGTGTCTGTGTGCATAAATACACACGGAAGCTCATTTTTTTGACTGTGGCTCTCAGTCTAAAGCACCAAAGACACTGGTGGTGTTAATCAGAAATAGGGGAACAATTACCTTCAAAAATAGGTGGCTAGTTAGAAAAAGCCAAGTAGAATTGAAAATGTTCCCTTTCCCTAAAACCTCAAAGATCTTGGTATATTCCAGGGGGCTCCTAAAAGAGAGCAGGCTGGTGATCTGGAATGATCTCTAGCTAGGACTAGCTCATCTTTGCAAATTCTACAAAGAATCATCTGGACTCAGACAGAACTTTGTACACGGTCTGATTCACAATCTGAAATTCTGACTCTGGGGCTGGGAGATAGCTCAGCAGGGAGGTTCACATGCTGTGCAAACATTAGGAGCTGCATTTAAATCCCCAGCACCCACAAAAACAACTGGCCAGGAGTACTTACCAATACATTAACCGTAGTAAGCCCCAGTGCTAGCTGGGGAGTGGGGAGAGCAGGACCTGGACAAAACCCTACCTCCAGACTCAAGTGAAGACAGCAGGGTGTGACTGAATAGGACATCCAACAGCTTCCTCTGGTCTACAGGCTTGTACACATGAATGCATGCACCAACACACATGGGCACAAACCACACACATGCATATGCACACACATCCACTCACACAGACATAAGTAAAAAGATAATGATAATAATAAAATTCTAATCCTAACTAATCAATCAAACTTACATAGCCAGCATAAATGCCCACATCAGTTACATAAAAACCAACAGATACAAGCACCAGTGAAACAGCTGGAAGACAAGACAAATTTATACCCTTAAAAACCTGCCTAATAATTATCTGGTCATTGGCCTTTCTACTCTGCTAACACACTGACTGTGTGATGGCATTGTACAGCAACCCTCTAG